GCAATACTCCTTCCATGTCCATGACAAGTGTACTCCAATAAGTTTCATCACGAAGTCAGAAAATGAAAAACTTCATAAAAATAATAATCTTTTACCACACATAATAATCACTTCGTCTCCATCGTCTGTTACGTACAGATAAGGATTTTTTAAATCTGAAATTAAATTTTATAAACTCAAAATTTATATGTGTATATATATATATATATATATATATATATATATATATATATATATATATATATATATATATATACACATATACATATACATATATATACATATATATATATATATATATATATATATATATATATATATATATATATATATATATATATATATATATATATATATATATATATATATATATATATATATATATATATATATATATATATATATATATATATATATATATATATATATATATATATATATATATCTTAGAGCCGTAACCACAATTTTAATATTAAGGGGGCCCATATTACATATTGAGGTCCTTTTTTTTTTTTAGGTACCCATTTTAGGGGCCCAGAGATAGGGAGAAGCCCAAACACAGCATGGGAAAAGCCCCTAACTTTAAAAACTATAGCCTATAATAACTATATAGTTCTTTTAAAAGAGGAAGGGAATAAAATATTTGTAAAATATATAAGTTTTTCCCTAATAATTGTAGTTTAATAATTTTTTTTTTAACAATATGTCCAGTTTTAGTCTTTTGAAAGTAATTGCAGCCAGTTCTTTATTAAGTATTTAACTTTAGTATCTAAAAACACATTCCTTATTTAATTATCAATTGATTTCAATACATTATTGTACTTAACTCTAACCCTAACTAAGCAAAAACATAAAAATGCCTGAGGTTGCCAATTTTTTGCTGACCTCGTTTTTATCTGTTATTGTAAAACCTTTGTAAAATGGCTTTATGTTTGCCGATTGTAATCTGATGCCAACCTAAAACAGTTTAAGGTCAAAAATTAAATAACTCACTTTAGTTTTACTAATTTTGAGGCTTGTGTATGCATGCATACTTACCTGCATTTGGGTGGCAGTGGGCGAGGAACTGCCAACTTGTGTATTCCATAATGCAAAAGTGTATCAATGTTTTTATTCTTGCTGAGTCAACTGTGATAGAAGACTTTAATACATGAGCTTTAATACAACTTTATAAGACAGAGAAAACTTATAGAATAACCCATTAGAGGACATGTATATATATATATATAAAATATATATATATATATATGTGTATATATATATATATATATATATTTTATATATATATATATATATTTTATATATATATATATATATATATATATACATATATATATATATATATATATATATATATATATATATATATATATATATATATATATATATATATATATATATATATATATATATATATATATATATATATATATACATATATTATATATATTATATATATATATATATATATATATATATATATATATATATATATATATATATATATGTATATATATATATATATATATATATATATATATATATATATATATATATATATATATATATATATATATATATATATATATATATATATATATATATATAATGTACTTATATTTATATATATAAAATGTACTTTTTAGTTTATTTAGAGTTAGTATTAGAATCTTTCTCATAAACTAAATTAAAAATAAAATATCAAATGGTGCATAAGACTAAAAGATTCTCAATTTTGTTCTATTATTAAAGTAACTTTTGAAATAAACTTTACTCTGAATATTTAAGAATATTAAGAAATACTCTGATATTAAATATTACTACTACTAATCTAAGTAAAAACCAATTATGTATAATCGTAATGATATTGATAAATATTAAATTTAATATTAAACAATAACAATAAGTAATAGTGATATGAATAGAAGTAAAAAAATCTTGATATTTATATTACATAACGTCATACGAAAAGCAATAATAATGAGCAATAATAATGAAAAATGAGCGTAACATTTTACAAACAGTAATTACATTTCTCCAAAATAAAAAGACATTACGATGAGTTTTAGTAGTAAAGTTTAGTGGTATAAAGTAAATATAAAAAATAAATTATTCTATGAATAAAAAATGATAAATTATTTCATGATTTTATGCATTGGTTTGTGATGTGATTTGTTATTCTGTACTTAACTGAACAATGATTTAGAATATATAATAGAATTATATTAGAATATATAATTTAAGGTTGCTAAATGATGGAAGATAATATTAAGAATATATATATATAGAAGAATTTACAGATTGAAAGAGGTAGCATGTCCACACGATTTTTTTATAATTTAAATATTCAAATAAAATTGATGCCATTGTAAAAAGCTTGGTTTGACTTAAAGAATGAGGTCTTTGAAGTTAAGCGGATCAAAAGTTATTGAACATTTTGTAGTGAAAAAATGGGTAATTTTTTGACAAAAGGTATAGGGCTTAAGTATGGAAAATTTGCTGCGAAATGGCACAGAAAATGATAGTATTATAAACATTTGATTAACTTTTGAACCGAAAATACATTTGACTTGAAATTTTCCATAGTAACCAACCAACTATAAGGAAGTAAAAATCCAAAAAATTTTTTTTTAAAAATCTGACGGGATTGACCAGAATCATCTATTTTACAGACCGAGGATTTTTACTAATATATATGTTTTTGGGGTCATACTGATTTTTGAATAACTTTTGAACCGATAATACATTCGCTTGAAATTTTCCATAGTGACCAACCAACTATAAGGAAATAAAATTCCAAATTTTTTTTTTAAATCTGCCAGGATTGACCAGAATTATCTATTTTACAGACCAAGGATTTTTACTAATTTATATATTTTTGCGGCCAAACTGACTTTTGAATAACTTTTAAATTTTTATTACTTTTAACTTGAATTTTTTCATAGTGATCAAAGAACTATAAGAAAATAAAAAACCAAAATTTTACTTAAAAATGTGTCACTATTGTCCAGAAACAACTATTTTACAGCCTTAAGGGTTCTATACTATTTTCTTATTTTTAAGAATAAAAATTGGGGTCATATTATAATTATACCATGCAAATATGCATAAAGGAATCATGGAATCCAAAAAATACATAATTTGAAAACTATTGCATAATTTACAGACTGGTCAGTGAAATAACCACATAAATTACTGTTTGGTCAGTAAATTGCTGAAAATGGGCTGTTCAAACAATTTAAACATATCAACTTTAAATAGCTTGTAATTTATTTTTATTTTTTTTTGTTTTTGATATTTTTGCACTATTATTACATTTGACTTGAAATTTAGAATAGTGATCCAGTTTTTATTAAATCTGTCTGGATTATCCAGAACCATTTATTTTACAGACTGAAAGGTTTCTACTTATTTAATTATGTTATGAAGAATAAAAATTAGGGTTGCACAATGCAAATATGCATAAAGGAATCATGGAATCCAAACAATACATCATTTGAAAATTATTGTTTAATTTACAGACCTGTCAGTAAAATTATTGCATAAATTACAGATCGGTCAGTAAATTATAGAAAAATAGATGTACACACCAATTAGGCATATTGACCTTAAATATGTTTAATATTTTTGAATCATTATTACATTTGACTTGAAATTTTAAAAAGTGATCCAGTTTTTATTGAATCTGTTAAAATCATGCAGAATCATTTATTTTACAGACTGAAGTGTTTTTGCTTATTTAATTATGTAATGAACAACAAAAATTAAGTTTACAATATGCAAATATGCATAAAGGAATCATGAAAAATACATCAATTTAAAATTATTGCATAATTTACAGACCGGTCAGTAAATTAATACAAAAGGATTGCACCAACCTATTGGACAAATTTATGTTGCACAAACCTGTTGCACAAACCTATTTGACTTTAAATATATTTGATAATTTCCAACTGTTATTACATTTGACTTGAAATTTTTGATAGGGATACAAAACTATAAGAAAATTAAATGCCATAATTTTTTTTGCATCTGTCGAAATAATCCAAAATTGTTAATTTTACAGACTAAAGTGTTTTTACTTATTTACCTAGTTTTTTAGAAAAAATTTGGGTTATATTATAAAAACTCCATGCAAATATGCATAAAGGATTGGGGAATCCAATTAATTCATCTGTTTAAAACTATTGCTTAATTTACAAACTGATTAGTAAACTACTGCGTAAGGGCATTGAAATATATTTAAATCATTTAGAATTAGCTATTTAACAGACAGAAGATTCTTTAATAAAGTTAAAATTTAAATTTGAATAAAAATAACTTACAGCAATACAACTTCCTAAAATTTTGAGTATTTACAACAGCAATAGCAGGTGTAACAGCAGAAACTTAACCTAAAATTGTAATAAAATTATTATTAAAACACACAGATACACAATTTTTAAAAAACATTTGTTAATTGGTTTTAAAAATAAAAAATAATTATAAATTAACAATTAAAACTAAATAAATATAAAATAAGAAACTTACTCTTTGAGATTGTTTATGTGAACTATTGACAACATCTAAAATAAAAAAGTGAAAACAGCATCAAAACAAAAAATGTTGTTATTCTAAAACTTATCTCTTGGCTTTTAGTAAATGATTAGAGGTAGAGAGTTTAAGTAACAAAACAACCTGATAATCATTTTTAACGATAGACACCAGCGAGAAGGTAAGCCAAGTTGTCTTTCAACGCAAAACATCACAACGATAACATCACAATCACAAAACACACAGAACCTGTTAACTATTGTTACAGAAAGGTTTGAAATTAACATTAGATAGAGGCAGTGACGCACATTCTATTACTCTGGATGATGTGGTGTATCTGGCGAAGTCTTAAAAAAGTATTTGCAATCTTGTTGATATTCCTATATTGATGAATGGCAACATTATTACTGTGTCTTCTACTTTAAATCGTCTCTAACTATCTTTTTGTATTGACCTCTTATGGAAACCTTATATACAAATCATTGCTAAGTTAGTATTTGTATACAATAATATAGTATTTTATTGTTCCTAAGTGCTCCAAAAATTCTTATATGTATAGTTTTTTTCCTAGAACATCAGTTTTTTGTAATACTCTCCATTCATCTTGTTTTCATGATTAATATAATTTGCAATCTTTTAAGTCATCTGTTAATCGTTATCTTGCTTTATAATCTTTATCTTGGGTCTTCCAGTAACTTCCAACTCTAAAAATGGTTGCTTCAAGCCTTGTTGAAAATACAGATACTTAAAATAAAAAATAATCTCGCTTGATTTAACAAAGTTGATGATTTGCTATCTTCTGTTAAATGTTCTATCTTTACTTCTAGCCAAACATCTTCTGGAACAAATTCTAGTGATTTTGTTCCAGAAAATATTTCTGCTTCTTTAAGTTTATTTTCTAATTTAAACTTGAAAACTGCTAATGATGTTTTTTCAAGCTCTGTTACTCAAAGTTCTATTGTAGACAAGCCTTTAAAAAGTCATTCTGGTGATTGTTTTCTTGAAACTCAAGTAAATAAAGAGAATTTCCCAGTTTCCAATTTCGATCAACAACTACCTTTATTATCTGGTGATTTGACCTATCAAATAAACAAATACAAACTAAGAGAATTACCTTAAATAAACACCTTGAATTTCAAAATAGATGAGATGTAATGAATATAAAAGAAAAAATAAAGCAATTTTATCAAAATATAATGTCCAAGAAGTCAAAAAAAAGAGATGTTAGAAAGGATTGTAAGATTAACCAATTGTTGCAACTAAATTTAAATTTGGAAAACGAACTTGATTTGGCTAGAAAGCGTTTCCAATCAGATCAACAAAAAGCATGGTAAATAAAAACAATTTTGAAAGCACTATTTTGAAAACAACTGATGATACAAATGATTCAATCTTACATGAACGTTTGAATTACTTTGAAAATCTTATAGAAAAGCTTAAGGAAAGAGTTGACAATTTTGAAAACAAAGTAATCAATGTTTTAGAAGGAAGTAGATATAATGAGGAAATTCGCTGTCTAAGAAGACCTCTTAAGTAGAAATGTTTCTGTCAATAATGTTGAATCTTGTATCAGAACTGTACTACAAAAAATGGCTGGAATTTTAAGAGTTACATTTCCCAAAAAATCTTTAGGTGTTGAATTTTTTAGTTAAATAAATATTCTATCAAAAGCTTAAGTTAGAGAGGCTATGTTAAATATTTTGCACAATGTTTTTTATGCAGATGGCATGGTCTTCTTTATGCAGATGGCACAAAGTACAATTTTAAGGAGGTTGGTAGTTTTTCAGTTACAACATCATCAGTCAACAACATTATCAGTTACAACATCATTCACTTACAACATCACATTTGAAGATTTTCGGGCGAGGAACAATCTTATTTTGGTGAGATAAAATTTATTTCTTTCTTCTATTCAAATTACTTTCTTCTAAAAATGACAACTACAAGGATGATCTTAGAAAGCTTTTTTTTTCCCTTCAAATCTTTGATGACAGATCACACTGTTGTTAATTTTAGTTAACAATGAAATTGCTTCTCTCCGATCTAGAAATGGTTAAAAAAAACGACATGTTTTTTTTTAACCATTTCAACATTAGAAAGAAGCAATTTTGCTTTTTGTTGTTGAAAACTATGATCGGCTTCCTTTAAATGAAAAAATAAAAATTTCTCAAATGCATTATGTTTTTTGTGGTTTAAATGAAGTTCCCAACATAGAATTGCACCATCTTGGTCTTCTCTTCAAAAACTAATTAGCTTTACAAATAAGGAATCTTCCTTAATTAACATATCCTTTAACAGAAAGAAAATTCTATGTATGGTGTTTAACCCAACTCAATAATCAAAAATTATATCAAACTTATTCCCAGAATTGTGTATATCAGGCTGTAAAATTGCTTTTGTTGAATCTTTTCAATACCTTGGCCATATAATTAAAAATGACCTAACTGATGATCTTGATATAACCAAGGAGATGAAGGGTCTTAACACACGTACAAATTCAAACTTTCCTGTAAGATTGAATCATTCGTTTCATCAGTTGTTTTCAAAACAGTGCTTTCAAATTTTTTCTTGAAATACCATGCTTTTTGTCGATCTGATTGGGAACGCTTTCTAGCCAAATCAAGTTCTTTTTCCAATTTGAAATTTATTTGTAACAACTGGTTAATCTTACAATTCTTTCTAACTTCTCTTTTATTGACATTTCTGACATTATATTTTGACAATATTGCTTGATATTTTCTTTTATATTCATTGCATCTTCAATTAATTTGTCTATACTGAAATTTGAGATAATTAATTCTCCGTTTGTATTTTTTTATTTGATAGATCAAATCACCAGATAATATAGGTAGTTTTTTATCCAAATTAGAAACTGGGAGATTCTTTTCGTTAACTTGTGTTTCAAGAAAAAAAATTTCAGAACCATTACCTAAAGGGATGTATCCAATAGAAGTTGGGGTACCAGAACGCAAAAAATCATCATTAGCAATTTTCAAGTTTATATTGGAAGATACAGAAACAGTCACTTGATTTGGAACAGTTTCACTATTATGGATAGGAGTGGGAGTAGAACAACCATTAGGTGACAAAAAAACAACATCAGAAAAAGCATAAAACAGAGTTTAAAAAATCTTTTAAAAGATAAAACAGAGTTTAAAAAATCTTTTAAAAGATAAAACAGAGTTTAAAAAATCTTTTGTTAAGTCAAAATTTTTTGCTAAATTTAATTTTGCATCTTTGAACTTTATCAAGTACTTAATTAGCATCACTCAAGAGATATTATATTTACAGTAGGTTGTAAAAATAATAAAAGATTTTGCCAAGTTAAGTTATACTTATCTTTTTTTTTGTGCATATTTTTAAAAAGTGGCTATTAGTTAACATAAACTCAGGATATTTGACAGAAATAATGCCATCATTTATATTTAGAAAATCCAAAATGTTCTTGTAGGGTGCTGTTTCTGACAACATTTTGGTAGCTAAAATTAATGTTAAACTTAATTTAAGTGATTATAACAAAGGCAAATTAAATTATTATTAGAATTCATTGGTTCTTTCACCAAACCAATATAAAAAATAAAAAAATAATTGAAAAAAACTGATAACTTTTTTACACATTTCCATAGTGAAATTTAGTTGATTACTATTTCCAGGTTTTGTTTTGAAAAAAACAGTTTAAAGAATCTGACAGATTACCTGTAACACAGACTGTAGTAAAAGTAGTAAAAATCAAGCTTGTAATTGAACAATCCAGACAAAATACCTTTAAAAAATAAAAATAAAATTTTTAATGCCTTGAAAACTGAAGTCTTTAATAAAAAATTATACTTTCACTTTCAATTTTATTTGAAGTTAAAATTACAGAAACGCAAAATCAAAACAAAAAACGTCATAAAATACGCGAAGGAATATAGATATATATATATCTATATATATATATGCACATATATATATATATATGCATATATATATATATATGCATATATATATATGCACATATATATATATATGCACATATATATATATATGCATATATATATATGCACATAATTTCTATATACAAATCCTTAGTATATATTTTTTAAGAAAACATAGATAATACTTGATTTAAAAAGAGGAAAGGCTAAACTTGTCATTTCCACCTGGACACTTTTAAAAAACTCTTTTTTTTAAAAATAAACCTTGAATTTTTGAAACGCTTTTAATATACACGGAAAACTTTATAAAAATTGGATATGATTTAGTACTAAGGAATCCTTTTGGATTCTTCCAAAATCTTCATTTACAAATTTAGTACTAAGGAATCCTCCAAAAGCTTTGTTTTGAAAAAACGTTCCCGAGGCAAACTTTTTTATCAAAAGTGGTCTCAGGATATTGATAATATTTAAATGAAGCCATACAAAGCATAGTACTTTCTATATATGGCTGGAAAGAAGTTGAGTGACACTAATTGATACAAAAAACTTCAAGGTGATTGCTTTACCCTACAAAAAGATATAAGAGACTAAAGTTTATGAAAATTCGCTGTTTTTCGTCAAACGTCAAATGTTTTTTGTAGCGCTGTGGAATCGCTAAAAGAGGTAGGGTAACTTGTGTGTGATTTCAGACAAATAAACAATTTATTAGATGAACCAGAGCATACAATTTGATAATTTTGGATAGAAAGAAAAGAATTAGAGTGATATTCTGGAAAGTAAATTATTTTAAATGTCTTGTTTTTAGATTAGATATTAATAAAAAATTATTGGTTCATAAATTATAACTATATATAATATATCATATTAGAGTGTTTGTAGTATGTTTAACAAATAAAATTTATATTAAAAGAAATTTGCTTTTTACTATTACAATCTATTTGACTTTAAAAAAATATATTGCTGGTTTAATACAGTTTTATTGATGTTACTTCATTTATGAAAAAATTGGGTGCTAGGTTTGAATACTACAAACAACTTTTGGTCCAAATGCTTCATCCATCATGAATTTAATAAATAAGCTGCAGCATTAATTTTTACAAAACCAAAATTAAAAAAAAGTTACTATATAAAAAAGGTTATGTAGCTAAATCCGCAGCCATTTTAAAATTCAAAATTAAAACGCTTGTAATTGACTGTGCATAATTATAGGTTTTTAAAATTTTGGGGCCCTAATGACAGATTGGGGGTAGGGGTAGGCGAGTCTTTAGTCACACAAAAACTCCTTGATCCATCGCCCGGCAGTTTATTCATTTTTGTTAAATTCATTTATTATAAAGAAGTGAACAACTTTGGTGCACTTTAAACCAAATCGCTCTTATGCATGCTTGCACCCAGGGCCTGATCTAGAACAACACGGACTATAGACACAACACAAAAATTAAATTCTAGTTCAAACTTCTGAAATGTATAAAAATATTAAATTAGCAATAAATATAATTAAGCAGAATATATGAATCGCTAACTGTTAGTTAATAATAATATCATAATTGATTTTCTATTTATCATTAAATAGTCAAATAACTATATATATATATATATATATATATATATATATATATATATATATATATATATATATATATATATATATATATATATATATATATATATATATACACACACAAACATTCTTTGTATATAATATGTATACATATATAAATATATATGTATCAAGTTCTTAAAATAAGAACAAAAGTTCTTAATATAAGAACAAAAGTTCTTAACCTAGAATCTTGGATTTTTAAAGTAAAGTATAATAAAGGTACTTGTAATAATAATTGATTTTCTATTTATTAAATAGTCAAATTACTAAAGATAGTTTATGAGGCTAAGTTAGTAACTTTAAAAGAGACAGGCAAAATCTACAATATTAAGTATTTGTAAAAATCTACAATATAAAGTATACAATATAAAGTATCTACAATAGTAAAATTTGCGGCCGTGGCGCAATGGTTAGAGCGCTTGCTTTATAAGCAGGAGATCCAGGTTCGAAATGAAATTTGGACATATTTTGCGTCACGGTAAGGAAGGAGGCGTGAACTTTCTGGTTAAATGCACTTCCGCGGTGTTCTGTGACAAGACCGTGAGGACTTCTTAGGACACCTAAAATAACAAATGAAAATAAAATATAAATAAAAAGTACTAGATAATGTTTTGATTCTGCTTTGAAATGCAGAAGTGATTTTTCTTTACCATTTGTTGAAAATGTTTTTACAAATTAGGTCCCCAATATTGAATAGAGTAAGCACTTAACTTTAAGTTAAATTTTGCAGTAACACAATTGTTTTAATTAGGTGTATGTTTTAACTAAGTGTATAATTTAACTAGGTGTATGTTTTTTTTGTAAATATTTAACGCTCTAAGTTTACATAGAGGTGGCTCACATGGTACAGTTCTCGAAGCTCCAAATACAGTTTTGTAAGTATGTTTTTGTTTAGAATTTTTTTAACTTAGTGCAATTGGTTTCTAGTAAAGTTAAATAAGCTTGCGTAAACAATAAATTTTTAATGTCTTAATATTTAGGAATGGTTTCGATTTATACATCATTGAAATATTTCTTATAAGTATTCTTTCTAGAGTGCTTACATGACACCTTCACGGTAAATTTTCATCTAAAATAACACTTGAGAATTCTAAATATGTTTGTCTTATAACAATTGTTTTATTTACTTTCAGATCTGGTCCTGATATTAGAGATAGATTCTCTGTTTTTATGTTGGTTTATGAAATATAGTAAATTTGCTTTTTTTTATGATGAACGAGACTATTTATATGTAAACCATTCGTATGTATTGTCAAACTCTTCCTTGATTACATTAAAGAGTGTTTTAATGTCCATATAAGAATAAGACAGATTGAAGTCATCCGTAAACAAAAAAAAATTTAATTATTTTGATGCAAAAAATGGATCAGTTCTATGAAGAGAAAACAATATCGATACTAAGATTGAGGAAAACCATGTTATGAACTTTTTCATTGTTTCAACTAATTCAAATTGTACGTACTGGTTTCTGTATAATTAATATCCTTTAAACCGAAGTAAGCATTATATTTTATTATGTTCAAGTTTTTTTGAAAAAAAAAAGATGCGGTTGACGTAAAAGTAAAAGGCTTTAGACAGGTCAAGGAAAACTCCTATGATTAATGTTAAACAATCATTATTAACGGTATTGCTTTCATGAGTTAACGGTATTGCTTTCATGAGTTACTTAACCCTGTTAATCAATAATAATTGAAATATTTTTTTAAAACTAAATTGCTTGTTGTACAACTTGTTATTTATCGTTAAGTAATTTGGCAAGTTTATTTCACAATATACGTTCGAGTAACTTAGAAAAGCATGGAAGAACCGATATTGATCTATAATTTGAAGTGTTCGAGCCATCCCCAGATTTAAAAATAAGTCGCGCTGTTTTCAATTTTTTTTGAACAATACCCAATTTAAGTATTGATAACGATCAAAGATTTGATGTAAAAATGATTTTATAATTTTAAAACTGAATTTACATCATATACGCTTATTTAATTAAAATTTGCACGTTGTTTGGAAAGCTATCCAAAGCAGATCGAAACTCGTTAATACCAAGTTTGGATTTGTTCATGACTTTATTGTAGTTTTTAAAATAAGAGCCTTTAGTTGGAGAGAAAGAAAAAAGCTGTTTAGATTTTCTGCTATCATATATTAATTTGCCAAATGTTATTTTGACTGAATAATTTTTTTCATTAACTTTTTCTTCTAACATTTTTGAAAAAAAAAAAAAAAAAAGTACCACTAAAAAAAAAATCTAATTTTAATTTGTCGAAAAAACTAACGAAAATAAGGAATATTATTGTAAAAAAATTAAACTTATGAAAATGAAATTAATTATAAACTTTGTCGTTAGTTTCATTTTCATAAGTTTTATTTTTAAAGAACTTTTTACACAACTTTTTTTTTGAAAATTTTTTTGAAAATTTTATTGAGCCTTTAGAGAATTTTTAAGAGAGTTATTTGTATTTATAACAGCTTTTTTTTCTCAGAAAACGCTTTTTCGTACTGTTTACAAAATGTTTAAGAAATAGTTCTTAAGCAATGTTAGCACTTGATTGCAGTAAGAATCAAAAGGTATTTATTTATATAGGTTACATGATTCAATATAATTTTGCAAATTTTCATATTCAGAGTCTCTTGTGACTTTTCAGAGTAGAAACCATGAGGTTTCTACTCTAAAAAGTTACAATGCTCTGAAATTTTAAAAATGTCATCCTCCCAGAATTTTCTAGTTTTCTGAGCGAAAAACTGCTCAAGTTGTGTTTTTCAGGTATCCAAAGCAACAATTTTCCTAAAATAGCTATTTAATAAAACTATTATTGTAAAAACATGATAAAAACACTAAAAATTACTAATAATATTGTATCAAACATATTTTCTTTTTAAATATAACAAGAATGGCACAGAAATTACAAAATACAAAAGAATTAAGTTTCTTAATTATTATATTTTATTTCTCTTAGAAATAATACAATAAGGAAGCTACAAAAGTTATAAAGCCTACAAAAAATCTGCTATTTCAATGACTTCGTCAAAGTTTGTACCGCTAGTAACTAATATTTGAGGAATGTTCGGTATCGGAAGATAAGCAAAATGTCGAGTACTATAATAAAAAAATTAAAAAAAAAAAAACCAAAACCAAAACAAAGAAACAATTTAAAAACTCACATTAAAAATCTGTATTAAAAGTAGCAAACATTGCGGGCGTTGCATTTTCGGAGCATTGCGCAGTTTTGAATATATAACCTTTCATTAACTTTTATCAACTGTATTATTTTAATGATTAACTCAAATATGATATATTATACATGTTTCTTATAATATATTTTCAGTATAATATACTAAAAAAGGTATATAATACAATCAAAAGCTCTTAATCATTTTTCAAAGTACTTTACATGAGACATGCATAACCTACTTTACAAAACAATTTTCTGTTATTATATGGGTAATATTTATTTTTTCTTAATTGTCTGGGGTACTTGACTTTCCTCTAAGTGTTTTATATATTAAAAAGTATTAGCAGGGTTGCCACTATAATTTTAAAATTTAAATATATTCTAAATGTACAAAAAGAGTTATATAATATATATATATATATATATATATATATATATATATATATATATATATATATATATATATATATATATATATATATATATATATATATATATATATATATATATATATATATATAGTGGCGACAATATAAATAGCACAGATTTATATCCAATATGTAATGCTATATTTTCCAGAGATCCAGAGTTTTTGAGGCCTAAACGTTTTTACCTAATAAAATATTAATTATAGATAACATTACTGATTAAGAAATGAAAGTAACTTAATTAAAAAAAAGTACAACTATATAAATGATTTGAAGTACATAATAAGGGGGCAATTTAGAGTCAATAACCACTTGACAACGGCGGCCCATTGAGAAGATCAGGTTTTGGTATCGTTCAGGCATAATGGCGTCCCAAGCAGCCTTTATTTCAACCCAAAGTTGGTCTAAATTTGTTGCATTTAACCGTTTTATGTTTCTATCAACTTCCTCCCACAAATTTTCTATCGGATTTAGGTCTGGTGACTGTGCGGGTCACCCCAAAACGTCAATCTTATTAGCGGTAAACTAAGCTTTAATACTTTTGGCGGTGTACTTGGGGTCATTGTCTTGTTGGAATTTCCAAACTAGAGGGAGATTTTCTTGGGCATATGGCAACATCACATTTTCCAGTATTTCTTTGTAGATATGTTGATCCATCGTTTCTTGAATTCTATGCAAGGGGCCCACTCCACTCCATGAAAAACTGCCCCAAACAATCACCTTTCCCACACCATGTTTAACGATCTTTAAAGTATACCGAGAGCTGAGTTCTTGGTTCTGGGGACGACGAACATATTGCTTTCCATCGGATCCAAAGCGATTAAAATTAGACACGTCAGTCCAGAGCACGTTTTTCCAAAAACGCTGACGAGATTACGTTTTGAAATCAATGTTTTTTTTCGAGCAACCTTTCCAAATAGCTTATTTTCACGTAAGCGACTTTTGACTGTGCTGACAGACAGATTGAGTTTTAAATTTTGAGAAATTTGTTCTTTTTTTTTTGGTGCGCCAACAAAAGGATTCAGTTTAGCAATACAGACAATTGCTGCGTCTTCTCTGAGGGTTGTTTTTCGCTCGCGAAACTTATGTTTTTTGTTGCTTAATGCACCAGTATTGTTAAATAAATTAATAGTACTGATAACTTTCTTACGAGAACAACCAAATTTTCGAGGTATTTGAGAATTGTTTAATCCTTGATCTCGAAATGCCTTTACTTATCCTCGAAAGACATCTGTTCCATGTTTACCTCGTCCCATAGTTGACAGATAATGATTTTTTTATTATTTTTTGCTAAAAATATACAAGAATTTACTTAGAATACTAAATATAATGATTACCTTTTTATATAATACAAAAATTTAGTTTTTTTGCTATTTAAAATGTTTGCTATCAAAAATGTAAGCACGACCGCTAAAAGACCTCAAACAAGCGATTTTTACAGTTATAAATGTAAAATGAATAGTGCTGTTTAAAAATATAAACATTTTTGATGCTATATATATATATATATATATATATATATATATATATATATATATATATATATATATATATATATATATATATATATATATATATATATATACATACATACATATAAAAGTTTCATTAAAAACCAAAAAGTTGGTACTAAGAAGTAAAACCAACTGGTAATGAAAGTGTGCTATTTATGTTTTCGCCACTGTGTATATATATATTAGGGTGGTTTTTTTTTCAGCTTTTTTTTCAAAAAACTAGGTACAACCTCTAAATATGTGCAAAATAATAAAATATCAATAAGTTTATAAAATAGGTTTAAAATTTTTTTGAAAAAAAAATATTTTAATGGGTCCCCAAGACCCTTGAAAATTTAACGGGTCCCTAATATTAAAAAAAAATATTTTCAAAAATAGGTCAACCTGGTACTCAAATGCAGCGAAATTATATAAAAATTTCAAAAATAATAATTATTTTGAACAAAAATAATTTTTTAACTTATCAAAATTATCAAAAACTTAAAAAAAAGCACTTTTTTCATTTTTTTGATAAAAAATGTTATTTTTAATGCAATAAATAATTTTCATTTTTTGTTAAAAAATGTTATTTTAATGCAATAAATCCTAAAATAATTTTTTTTTCTAAATAATATATATATATATATATATATATATATATATATATATATATATATATATATATATATATATATATATATATATATATATATATATATATATATATATATATATATATAAATATATATATATATATATATATATATATATATATATATATATATATATATATATATATATATATATATATATCAATAAGTTTCAATAAGTTATTTCTTTATCAATAGGTTTCTTACTACAATAATATTTATTTGACTATTTTGTGTAACTTTGTTTAGACTTTTGATACTTTCAGGAAGTAATAATTTTAAATATGGCACTAACCCATAGTTAATTATATATCCTTGCCCCTTTACTATCTGGAAAAATACTAGTAAACAATTCGCTCATATTAGCAGATGCATTGTTTGATATTCGTTCATAACAACTGCTAGAACACATTTAATTTCAAATCTTATTTCTTCATTGAAAATAACAACAAGTTCTTAAGCTTTTTGACCTACTGCCAGGGGGTAGCGTTGGTATAATAGTAGAATGTTTTACAACATTCTACTATTACATTAGCTGACTTTTGGATTTAGCTAAAATATTAACTTGGTACTTTTTATCTTCATTATGACTCTTAAATCCCATGTTTGACAAGTTAAAAGTTTTACAACAACTGCTGCATCTAGCAACTTTATTTATGCCAGTCTTAACAAGCTATTCTTTATACTCTAAGTAACTAAGCCAATCATTTGAAAAAAATATTTGGTCCATTTTAATTATTAATATAACTCTAAAAATAAATTTATTCTTCTTGCAATCGTATTACATATATTCATGGATAAAATGATGAATAATTATAAATTTGTATATAATACATTTTTTATATTTATTAAATCAAACTTTATTTAGTATTTCAGTATTTCCTAATTAAGCCCATAATGAAAATTCTATTTAAGATAATTAAATAGCTCAACTATAAAATGCAAACTCAAATTTAATATTGAAAATAACCAAACCATATAAATTTAATATCAAATGTATAATTTTATAAAAATTACTAATAGTATATATTTTGAATTTTATCATAATTTAAGTTATTATTAATAATTTAATACAAAAATATTTTACAAAAATAAAAAAAGAAATTTTTCCCTGGGTATTCCCTAAATATTATTAAAAAAAAGATAAATCCCTGAGTTTTCCAGGTTTTTCCTGAGATTCATGCTATCTTTATTTTAATTTACCTCCTCAAGGCCGAGAAGGCCACTACAGACAAGGAGGCTACTTATTTGTGGCTATAACCTCTCTCAACTCTATAACTCCGAAACACGAACCTTGAGAACAAGGCCGCTGCGCGGAGAAATGAGTTGAGCGCGGTACTACCAGGGACGTGGTGGGGATTGAACTCGGAACCACTCGTTTATGAAGCGAGCGCTCTACCACTACACCACTACCGCATTTCCAGGTTTTCCAGGTTGACTGGCAACCCTGTAGAGATTTTAATCTTAACTTACTTGTCATTCCTAGCTAAAATGTTTAGATCATAGATATAAAGATCCATTCTATTTTTTGATGTAAACAACTCTTGAAATATTTTGAAATCTTCTAACTCTCTTTCCTGATCTATTTTTCTCTCTGAAACGTCTCGCTTAAACAATGATAATATATGACTCGCTATAGCAATCTCTAAAGCAATTTTGTAAATAAACAACTTAGTTATAAATAAATTTTTTTAACAATTTTGTAAATAAACAACTCAGTTATATCCTAATAATAAAGTTATTTTTTTAAAACTATATATAACAATCACAACAAAATATAATTTCAATGACTTACTACTTGATAATCTATCAATAGCTCTAATGTTGCCTTGAGCTGCATAACCAAGCTCAATTCCAATCTCTCTAATCATTTCAATCATTTTTTTATAGAAATTTTTTTCTTGAATGACACCTAATAAAAAAACTCACTTATTTACTTTCGTTTCATATTTATAAACACAAAATAATTATACATAATTAGCATAAATTAATAATAAATAAATATTCTTTTAATAAGAACCTTTGTGATTAAACCAGGGAGACCCTTTCACATTTTTATACAACATACTAATAGGATAATCGTTTAAATCTTCTGAAAATACTGGATGGTCTAATTCAATGTCTTCAATACTTAGATCTACAGTATTTGTGAACTGATTGTTTATATTCAGATTTTTTTCTGAAGCACAAACCTTTTTGCTGCAGTATTGAGTGTGCTTTGATTTGGAGTGGTCAGAATTTTTAGGTTGAGGCAATTTTTCTTGTGTTACAATACCACGAGTAACAACATCTGAGCAATCCTGGCATAAACCAATAACCTTACGCATTAGTTTAGTTGTCGGCCCGAAATTCGAAAAACCCATTGTATACTTGAGTTTAAACTAAAAATAAATTTTAAAAAGAAAATTTAAAATAATATAGTAAAAAAGAAAATTCATAAACTTCTTCAAAACTGATTAATAATAAAATCATGGTATACCTAGGATGTTTAAACAATTTGTTAGCATCATAAAACTTTACCACAAAAAAAATGCAAACATGCAACATTTATTGTTTTAATTAATGATAGGCATGCTTTATATATATATATATATATATATATATATATATATATATATATATATATATATATATATATATATATATACACATACTAAACTCAATCCATATGCTAGGTCAAAATTTCCTAATATCATTTTTGCGATCTTAAGGTAAAAAAGTGTGCTTTCATTTTATATATATATATATATATATATATATATATATATATATATATATATATATATATATAAACAATTTAAAATGTATTCTACAAAAAGAGTGCTGAATGTTCTTAAAAGAATAGAGCAATTACAAATTAGTAGAAAATCACTTGACAAAATTTTTTCTCATTTAACACTGTGTTTCATCAATAAAGACTCATCATTTCTGATGAGTCTTTATTGATGAAACACAGTGTTAAATGAGAAAAAATTTTGCTAAGTGATTTTCTACTAATTTTTATATATGTATATATATATATATATATATATATATATATATATATATATATGCGGTCAAATGTGCATTCTTTAACAGCTGTATCAATATAATTCAATAGAACTTGATATGCTTACATAAGTTTTATACTATGCTGAGAAATAAACGCAAACTTTTGACAAATTGAAATTTATAAGATTTTTTAAAGATGGAAGATTTTAAAACCCAGATTACACTGTAAGTTTACATAATTATCAGTGACATATATTTTTTTGATTTTTTTTTTTAAGTTTTGAGATGCTTTTTGTTGATAATAAGTATAAACTAATAAATGGAGGGAAGGGAAGGGTCTTAATAAGCATGGGGTGGGTAAGAAAAATTTTCGAAAAATAATAAACGTGCCCACCCATGTATTAGACTCCTAAGAATATATACACCAATTTAGTACATAAATGTATTGGGGGTTCGGGTTTGGGCAGGTACATATCAACATATTCTACACCTGAAGTACATTTATTACAATAAAAAAAATTCCATTTTTTATATTATACATCTTTATCATCTTTGTTTGAAAAAACAAACAAAAAAAAACTGCTCAATTATAATCAATAATTAACCAATGCATACACTTTTGTTTACATTAAATTTTAATAATCATAAACTATATAATACTAATGGTGCTGCTGACTTATATTATCTAAATAGATTTAACATCTAGTTAAAAAATCATTTGATAAATCACTTATACAAACTGTAAACATAAATGATCCAAAAACAAATTATGAGGCACACTAAATATAACTGGCTTCTATTAAGAAACTCAACCATTGTAGATAACACTGTATCTATAAAACTAAATAAATGTAAAAGTTTGTAAAAAATTTGTAAAAGTCATAATATTGACTTTTACAAATTTTTGTAAAATAATAATTAATAATATTGACATGATATTGTAATAAGTCATAAAAATTTGTAAAAGTCATAATATTGACTAAAGTCAAAATACAATTGAAATCAAATTTGAAAATAAAATGTTGATTTTGTTATAAGTAACCATGACATGACATACTAGTTAAAGCACACAGGTGGTGTCTACCAGATGGAGAGAAAGATAAAACTCTCCTCTATAATATTTAAATAGAGTAATATAACAAGTTATACTGATAAATAAGAATATGATACATGTTTTTATTTGAAAAAAATCAATACTATCAAAACACATTAAATCAATTATGACACCGGATGTTTGCAAGGTGATGCCAACAAAAAGTCAAGATGGCATTTTGTTGGCATAACTTCTATAAACCATTCTTTTTAGAGCACTGCAAAAATCCTTAATTGGATGGTATTATCAAAATTGATAATCCATCAAACATTCTAGTTAGAAGGGTTATCAATTTTGGCCACATAATTTATGGAATTCTTTTCAAAGAATGACATCACTGTTGACAAAATTTGTAAATTCATTTTCTGTTAACTTTTTTTTAAAATTTTTTTTTTTTTAAATCTGAAACTTTTTTACAAAATGTAGTATATATAAAAAAAGAGAATAAAATTTGTAACAAAAACGATAGTATTAAAAAAAAAAAACTTGTGGGTGTACCTTTTTTAATCTTCAAACTTTTTACAGATTTTTATCAAACATCCATTACATATATATATATATATATATATATATATATATATATATATATATATATATATATATATATATATATATATATATATATATATATATATATATATATATATATATATATATATATATATATATATATATATATATATATATATATATATACATACATATATATATATATATATATATATATATATATATATATATATTTATATGTATATATATATATATATATATATATATATATATATATATATATATATATATATATATATATATATATGTATATATATATATATATATATATATATATATATATATATATATATATATATATATATATATATATATATATATCAACAACAACAACTTATAAATTAAATTTACAGTGACCATTTTAGGAGATTTTAATAAATGTTGAGTAATTTAATTGCACCATATATATAACATTTTTAGTTCTAAAAATCTTGTCAAGATTTTAGTCAAAAAAAAAAGCAAAAGATCAGGATCAGAAAGAAAGCAAAAGATCAGGATCAGAAAGAAAGCAAAAGATCAGGATTAGAAAGAAAGCAAAAGACAGAATCTATGGAAGATATCTTTTTTTTTTTTAAATAAACAAGAAGGGTATTCAAAGACTAAATTGGTGCAGAGATGAAAAAAAAAAAGGACTATAGATTAATGAATGTGTGTCATATTTACAGACAAATCTCCCTTTGTCAAGTGAAAATATAAAGAAAAAGATGAAACATAATTCAGAGTGTATGTGTACAACAAAAAAACATTACTGAAAAATTGTAATCTGGAATGCATTTGCTGCAAATGGAGTGGGAAAACTGTACAATGATAAAGAAATTATACTAACATAAATATAATTATTTAACATTAGACGAACATAAGTACAATTATCTTTTAGTAACCAATTAAAACTAAGCAATAATCCAAAGCATATAGCTTTGGAATTTTGTCTTGGTTTTAATTGGTTACTAAAAGTAACCTTGCTAACAAGCCTGGTGAAAATATGCTTCAAAAAATGCCAAGAGGTATTTAAAAAGTTATACAACCAAGTTTTAAAACTGATTATAAATCCATTTTAACTGTAATGAGGAAGATGGGGTAATTGCTTTGAATAATTAGTATTTAATAACAACAATATAAAAATTGACGTTCATTTTGTTATTTATTTTTGGAGAATGCTAAATTTGTACACAATTTACAATTTTTAAAGCATTAACTTCTTTCATCTATACATTTCTTTTGTAGATTGTAATGCTTAATAAAATTGTACTGCTAATTTTCAGTGATTTACACTTCCCAAGCTACATTGAACCTAAATTACATTTAAGTAGAGATGATAAATATAAGTTTTTATATACCATTTTAACTATTTCAGAAAAGTAAAAACAAAAATTTTTACTTTTCTGAAATAATGATAAAACACATGATATATAAAAAATGAGACATTTGCTGCCAGTTTATTTGCTACTAAGTTTCTAATTAAATCTATTATAATGCTTTTCAAACTAGATGTTTAATTATCATTTTAAATTTAACGTCATTGTTTAAAATAACTAAATTTAATAATACTTTATTTTAATATTTTTCTTAATTAAATATAAAATTACAAAAATAACTTTTTCGTAACCAGATGTCATTCAATGAGATGACCTTCAACAAAATATCTTCTAACAAGATGTCCTTTTTGACATTAACCTTTTTGTGCAACAAATCTTATAAAAATTGATTTTATAAGAATATTGTAAAAGTAGAATTACAAAAATGAAAAAATCACTTGTTGCTTGTTCATCACTTAAACTTTGTTTTTACTACTAGCAACTCTATACTCCAGAGGAAGAGATTTATAATCAAGTTTAAAAGTAATTATTTGTAAATATTCAAAATGGAATTTAAGCTTCCTATAAACCTGATATAGCATTTATATTAAAACCCTTTAAACAAAAAATATTCCCCCCCCCCCCCAAATACACACACTGTATACAGAAATGCTGAGAACAAAAACAATTTTATGGTCTAATTTTACCAAACCTTAAGTAATAAAAAATTTAGATGGAAAATGATAAAATTAAACTTTAA